ACTGAAGAGCAATATAGACAATCCCTTTGATGTCCAAAGAGAGACTTGTCTACGAAATAAGCTGTTCTTCATCTATATTTTTGACTGCCACAGCTGTACAGAGCAAAAATGTAGCTTTTGTTTCTGGAAGGGTGCCAACGAACTTGTATCAACCTGAACACCCCGCCCCCTGAGTCTTTTCCTTTTTTTAGAAAAAATAAAACTGCTTCTAGCAAACAACATAATTAGGACAATGGGTGCTATTATAAATCATTTGTACTTCTTTTTGATTTATCCGTGTATTCGTTTGGAAATTTGAAGCCGATTTTTAAAAACATGTGGACATCTTCGTAACATTCGGTGTTACCTAAATGTGTCTGGGGGGGTTGTCTCTCATATTTCTGGGTTTTTACAAATAAAACATGTTCTAAAGATATGCAAATGGAGGAGGCAGAATTCTGGATTCGAAATTCGTTGTTTGCTATTGCTTAGCACACGGTTTCAACGATAAGAATTAGCAGGGTACTGATTTAGAATGATAACCGGTGTGACATTCAGATAATTCGGGTTTCTACACGGAATGGTCGGTCAGGTGTAGTTAGTTTAGTTTGTTCCCGAAATAAGTTATCAAGACACTTGTACTGTATAAAGAGACACAAGTAGCACTTTATTAAAAGTAAACAGCGTCTCTGTCTCTAAGATGATCAAATCTCACACACAGATAGGGCCGCTGGCCCCTGAACAGTTAAGGGGCGGGGAAAGTAGCGTGTATGGGTTTTTAAATCAGCCTCTATACAAAATGTCCAATTAGCAAAGGTAGATCTAGGACAAATGCCACACTCTTTTATTCTGGGTCATTGCGATGTAATTCCGATAGGATTTGGGTCTCCTTTCCTGCGGTTGATTTCTGTAAAGCGGCGTGAAAGGTGGCCTGGGATAGAATACGGGGCTGCTCGGAGAAAAAAAATCCCCTCTCATAATCTTCCGCCTTCACCCCTTCCCTCCCAACATATTTTCTTCGACGGCTAGCTTCCTTTTCATCTCATCTATGTATATCTCTTTTGTTTGCCTGGCGTGTAGAACGCTTCCGCCATCAGGTTTCTTTTGCTGCCTGAGTCTATGGAGAGTTGGCAACCTGGTGCTCGTTTGTAAACTCTTCTCCAAACGGGGCCTTTATGTGTCAGTTTTTTTTTTAAGTCCCTTCATCTTGATCAGAACCCCATAATCTTTCAGAAATGGGGCGGGGGAAGAATCGCCTTGGATAAATACTGAGAGAAACTAGCAAATTGGCAAAGCGAATTCCTAACCATTCCAGGGCCCAAAATAGCCGTAGCAGAGACTCTTCTAGGCGATCAAACAAGCATCGAGAACCAAACTAGAAAGGAGCCTTCCCTTCTCGCATCTAAATGTGTCACTGAAGAGGGGTGAGATTTAAAATATCCGCTGCTGTTTCCCCTTTCCCCCAGACAAGCGGCTGGCAGGAGATGTGCCTGCGCTAATGACTGGTTGCAGGAAGGACCGAGTATTTCCAGGTTTGTCTCTCCATCAATATATCCTTTGCCTTCCGAGCTGGAGTGCAGAGGACTGGTTCGGAAGGGCCTGGGGACCCCTGTTCCATCCCAAGATCCCCTCCCTTTGACTTCCATGGGTTTGGATCAGACTTTGCTAGGCGAGCCTCGGTGCAAACCCTTCAACAGGAGGTTGCGGGAGCCCGTAGCCTGGCCTCCATTGGGCAAGAACTCCCTGCGGGCTTCTGCGCGGGGATCTGATTGGAAATCGCTGGCGCGCGCAATCACTACGAGGCAGCATGTGCTGTGTGAAAGTCACTGGCCTTAACTCTCCTCGGAAAGGGATGGTTAGTTGGCTTCACCGCACACTGGCTTTGGCTGACCCCGAGTTTTAAAGGGGAGGGGGTGAGTTATTAAGACATGGATGTAGCTTGAGGTGAGAAGGTCTAGTCCCCTTCTAAAGGAAAAGTTCAGACTTGCCACCGGGACCCAGGGCTTTTGGCTGGGATCAAGTCTTTACTTCTCAGTTTAAAAGAGAGGGGGAGTTACTCGCTTGAGGAAAAATCACCTGGCTTTGGCTGACCCCGAGTTTTAAAGGGGAGGGGGTGAGTTATTAAGACATGGATGTAGCTTGAGGTGAGAAGGTCTAGTCCCCTTCTAAAGGAAAAGTTCAGACTTGCCACCGGGACCCAGGGCTTTTGGCTGGGATCAAGTCTTTACTTCTCAGTTTAAAAGAGAGGGGGAGTTACTCGCTTGAGGAAAAATCACCGCCAGCCATAGATGCCGGTGCCCATGGGGCACCCTCTGGTTTCCCTCAGACACAGGGAAGGACTTTCAGCATCGCCACGAGACAACTGCGCCAGCCACGTTGCCCCCGGCTTTGGAGCAGCGGGAAGGGCTGAGGGGACTGGCTGGGGCTGGGATGGGAAGGGGCTGGGGGAAGCTTTGCACGACGCAGCTAGCGAGGCGCGGGGCTGGGCGCAGGAGACGTTAACATCCTTGCGCTGCATTACCCCAGGCAAAGCCGAGGTCCACGTTTGCGGGGGCCCAACGGGGAGAGGGCGGCAGAGGGCGAGTGGTTGCTTTGGTTGTAACTCGTACCCTGGGAGGTGTCAGGAAAACAAGCGTCCCCGGAGGAACACGAGGGATCTGGCTGTGACTCCCGCGGGAGCGGCAGGGGAGAGCTCTCTGGGTGGCTTGGGGGTGTAGCCTGGGGGGGGGCAGCCGAGCAGCGGGAAGTTACACGCAACCCACCTAGAGGGTCCGCTCCCCTTGGCTGTGCGCAAAGCGGAGGAGGCCGCGCTGCAGCGAGGGCTACCGAGGGATGGTTTGCGTTAGGAGCGGGTCGGGAGGGGAGAGGGGGGAGGGGATGAAAGGGCTCCTAACGACCTGCAGACCGGTGCAGTTATGGGCTGGGCTTGCCTGGCTGCTGCGGGAAGGGGCCAAAGCGCACAGCACCAGAGCCACAGCGGGAACCTCTCCACGGACCTGCCGGGGGCTCTGGACACGCCCCGCAGCCTGGGGCTCTGATTCTGAAGCCCGCCCCAGGCAAAGGAGAGCAGCAGGCGGTGGTGGACCTGTCTCGTCGGTCTAAAGGTCTTTGTCTCCCTCTCTCTTCCAGACACTCGCCTTCCCTGCTCCGAGATCCGCCTGCCCAGTGGCCACCATGGGAAGTAAGACTCTACCGGCCCCCGTGCCCATCCACCCCTCCCTGCAACTCACTAACTATTCCTTCCTCCAAGCGTTCAACGGGCTGCCCGCGGTGCCCACGGACCACCTGCCCAACCTGTACGGCTTCAGCGCCCTGCACGCCGTGCACCTGCACCAGTGGACCTTGGGTTACCCAGCAATGCATTTGCCTCGCTCCTCCTTCTCCAAGGTGCCCGGGGTGTCCAGCTTAGTGGACGCCAGGTTCCAGCTGCCCGCCTTCCCTCTCTTCCCACACGTCATCCAGCCCAAGCAAGAAGCCACCCACGCGCCCCTTAAAGCCAAACCCCGCTTTGACTTCGCCAACCTCGCCGTGGCCGCCACCCAAGAGGATCACTCGAAACTGGGGCAGGCGGACAGCCAGAGCTCCCCGCCGGGGCTCGGCTCCTTGCTCGAGGTAACCAAGCTCTCGCCGGAGAAGAAACCCACCCGGGGGAGGCTACCGTCCAAAACCAAGAAGGAATTCGTGTGCAAGTTCTGTGGCAGACACTTCACCAAGTCCTATAACCTTCTGATTCACGAAAGGACCCACACCGACGAAAGGCCGTACACGTGTGACATTTGCCACAAAGCTTTCCGAAGGCAGGATCACCTGAGGGATCACAGGTAACGTCAGCATTTTAATAGCACTAGGGTGAGGGAATAACTAAAGGCTCTGCTTCGCTCCCTCCCTTCCTTTCCTATAGCGCAAATGCAAAGGCGAGCCAGTTCTTCCCCCCATCCATGCAGGACCGTCACCTTAGGTTGTCTGCTCCTCTGTGCAATTTAGTGATGTCCCAAGTGATTGAGGCTTCTTGATTTGGAGGATGAATCCGTTTACAGATTCACTTACACTTGCGTTCTCTGGACAGCATGCCCTCTTTTGTCTGCTCTCCTTGCACTCAATTTGGGATGGTCCTTTCCTCCTTACTTTTGAAAGTTGTTTTAATCAGAGGTACAAAGTAGCCATTAGCAGTGTATTTGCAGTACATAATGACTCCCATAGTATTGCATGCTTCCTGCATGGATATTCCCCCCCCCCCCCCCTTTTTTTTTTTTTTTTTCAAACTCTCTAGGAGTCCTGACAAGGGGTGTGTGTTTGTGTGTGTGTGTGTGTGGGGGGGGGGGATTTCGGGGGGGAGGGTTGGTAGGTCACCTACTCGAATTGTCACTATTTTTAATCTCTGTTTCCTTTCCCCCAGGTATATTCATTCTAAAGAAAAGCCTTTTAAGTGTCAAGAATGTGGAAAAGGATTTTGCCAGTCCAGAACTCTAGCCGTCCACAAGACACTGCATACGCAAGTAAAGGAGCTTAAACCTTCCAAACTTAAATGCTGAAATGTCCAACACCCAGTGAACTAACTTCCCCTCCAGACTTTATGCCAAATTCAGAAACAGACACAAAACTATCCAGGATTGGAGCACTGAACTCTTTTTTTATTATAAAAATAAAAGGTTCCCAAATCCTGGTTTAAAGTATTGTTTTGCCTTTGAAACATATTAATAATATGGAGAGTGCAAGAGAACTGGCTGTCTTGTGTGGCTTTGATAAACTTTATGCCAAAAGGTGGTGCTCATGTATTGGACAGGAATCTTCATTTTTTAAAAAGCAAAAACGTAGCTTCCAAAGGTATTACTTTTTTACATTTTTTTATTTTATACTTTTTTTGACTGTATAAAGCTTCTTACTTAAACACTTCAGGAAAAAAAAATCCAGAAGACAATTAAGAACTGAAACTTTGGCTTCTCATGACAGCGCCATTGAGACAAGGAGAACAATTTGCAAACATGTTTGTTTGTTTCTGTTTTTTTTTTTAAAAGAAATGTTCCAAAGAGATCTAAATCTCAAGTGATGAAATCTGCCATGCACTAAATGCCTTATATAGAGCTTAGAGCTGCAGTATCAACACTACATGGAGATCTTGTTTTTGGTTTGGTGTCTAGTGCCTTGGGAGGTGGTTTGTAATTTGTGGACTTATTTAAAAATACCCAAAGGAAATGCACAATGTGGTTTTAGTGGTACTTTAAAGTGTGTGTGTGTCCGATGAGCGAGTGGGTAGGAGAAATCTCAACCTGCGAATTTTAAAGGCTGGCTTTCTGAACAGTGTATTAAAAATAAAACGAAGAGACATTCCAATATGTTTTGTTTATTAAAAAACGTTGTATGGCTATTTGGCACTTTATGCTGATTATTGGTAATTGACATTTATCACTGGATTATGTTTTTTAAGTATTAAAATAAATTGTTATTTTACAGGCAAGTCTGAGTGGATGAAGTATGTTCTGAACGTTCTTTAACCATTTGTTTTCGGGTTCTATCTAATCCTCAATCGAATTCCCTCCCCAGTAGTAAAAACTATCCTTTTCAGGTGATGTAATTAAAAAATAAGTGTTCTGGGGAGTGGTGAATGTTGCAAGTAGCCTTTTTGGGGGGAGGAGGGTATGGGTAAGTCACTGTTTTTACCGACAAAGGAAAGTCAATCGATATGAAGGAGGGAGGGGAAAAGGTTGAGTCAAATCACTGTTGTGCGCCTACTGTGAAAAATTCGCCTTGGTAACTAAATCTTGGGTATTAGCAGATAAGATTAGATGTCAAAAGTGTTAAAAAACAAATCAAATGAATAATGGGCAAACTGTTACCATTCACACAGCCTGAGGGCATGAGGGAAACACTCCTTTACATTCTCTCTTCCCTTTCATTGTCAGTGGTGTATATTTATCAATTGCATCTTGGCCTAGTCTAGTGTTGATGGGCGGCCTTTGATTACAGGCAGCTGTCTTAGATCAGAGATGTTTATTCCACTGCAAAACCCCTTTAGATTGAGACACCAAGAGTGAGTTTTGAGTGTAGGCTCCATCTGCGCTTTTAAAGCATGTTGTGCCGCTTTTGTAATTTCACAGACAGAACAGTTTCTTCCCTGATCATCCCTGTCACCTCCTGAAATAAAAAATGTAAATCCAAATAAAAATGCCAGATTAAAATAGCAATAAAAACCCGAAATAAAAGTAATTTCGAAAACATAAGGCTTACATCCATAAAGCACCCAAATCGAAATATTTTATTTCTCTTCTATTTATTTTCTCTCTTTCTTTTACTATTTGTATGGGCAAAAGAATCTTATGAATGATAAAAGAACACTAGTAACTTGCTTATTTGGGAAAGCTAAGGATTTCCCTCCCACTCTTTCTGTGTGTGTGTGTGTGAGTGCATAATTTGTTTCTGTGAAATACATTTCACAGTTACAACTATATGACTGATTCAATATATCTATTTATTCAGTTACAGTACCCCTATTTCGAAAACCTTTGCAGAGCTGAGTTTATCCGATAATGATTGCTGACTAAATATAGCAATAACTACTGTGGAAATAGTCAAATATCGAGAGGGATCATATACTGTAAAAAGCTTTGCGCAGAAGTTGCTTTAGTAAAGATGGTTAGTTGTATTGGGAAAGCCAAGCATTGTAATAAGCGTCAGACGGTTTTGTTTTCCATCGGAGAGTCTCTAAAAGAGAATAAACTTGTCTGAAGTAGGACACAGGGAGCTAAGCAGCCCTGTTTGGTATGGGAATAGATCAAATGAGAGGAAAATCATGAGACAGTACAGGGTGAATTACAAACAGTAACTTTTGGTATTTTTGTACCTTCTTCCTGTGTGCAGATGCACCAAACTAGTTTTATAAATGGGCTATTTTTTGTATCAGAGCCTCAGGGCATCCAGCATAAGAGATCTGCCGTGCCTTCAGCCGGTTACAATCCACCTACATAAAACGAAGTAGGAGACAGGTGGAGTCACTTGCCCGTGGCCACTGGAAGAGCTGGGAGTAGGACTCAGGTCGGGTTCTCAGACCCGTGCCATACCCAAGCAGTTCGCTTTCTGTCCTGTGCTGACACGCCCTAAGCTTCTCCTCTCAGTCAGGTGCCTGCCTTGGAAAATGAGTCAGTGTATTTCCTCACTAGCAACAAGGAACTGGCATGCCACTTCCCGACCCCAGGAGGGATGATGGCGCTGCTGCTGTTCCTTTGAAGCACGGCCTAAGATGGTACCCAACACTCCAGTCGTAGCTGCTACTTGCACCCCTCCCCGATCTGCTGCGGGGCCGTTTGCCCCCGGTCCCCTTCAGCTCCGTGTTCTAAGGAAAGCAGGACAAAAAAATCAATGGCGACGCAGAAAGCCAGGGACCAGCAGCCACTTCCTCTTCTGTGCCAGCCCCTCC